CCAGAAAAGAGCAGCAGTATTGCTAGATCACGTGCTCCAAGGAATACTAGGAAATTTCTGTGTGAGAGTACCCTGTCACACTGCTTGTTCCTATTTCACTGTTGCTGTTTGCTAACTGACATCTGAGAGTCAACTCAATTCTTGATGGTTTTACGTATGTGCAAAAGGCCAAGCATGCTTGTTTTCAGGACTGGGAGAAGATAATACAGATCTCTGTACCTGAAATTCCTCCAATCATATAAATGTTTCAGAAGAAATGGGATTTTTGAAACCTTTAAAATATCCCATAAAAACCTTAAGACACTGGCAAAGACAAGCTTTTTGGGAAACCAGTTACTTTATTCATAGAAGTTAGGGCATATCTGTGAGACCCATGTAAGCTACTAGTTAGGAATAACACACAGACCACATCACCAAACAAAGATGGAAAAAAGTATCAGAGACTCTGTATTGGAAGGAGACAAACCTTGTATGTATGGGGACTCAAAATGTCAGCAAATTTGGACACCCCTCTGGCTCAGTGAGCTGAAATCAGGCCAGACAATGTTCCCACTAGAAGCTGCCCTGGCTGCTTCCTTCAGCTGTGAATCTAAAAAGGTGTTAGAACAAGAATGACAAGTATTTTCATAATGGAACAACTGTTCTGGGACAAGTGCAAAGCAAAACACTGATCTCTAAGTGAGCCAAATTCACTACAAACCAGGCAGAAATAAGAGTTTATATCCATTTTATGAACAGGACCATTTTATTCAACATGCATAAATAGTGCAGACAACAAAAGACAAGATGGGGTGTTGCAAAAGAAGATCCCCGCTCTCTCTCACAACGTGCTTCAGTATTTCTGAATCTTGCAGCTCTTCATGCACATTGTCTTTGTCCACCATAAATTCCCCGTCTGGTGAAAGAAGCACTATGCCCTACTGACTTCATAACCTTCAGCACTCTCAATTTTTCCAGAACTATTATTTATTTCTGCTTACTCTTTAAAAGTACTTCAAATTCCTTTCTGGCTTACAAAACCAGTCCTAGACTGGTCCCAGTCTGTTAGGGAGTCACGTAAGTTTACTCAAACCTGTATGGTCTCTTTGACAAAAAACTCAAGATTCTAATAAAACATTTTACTTTGAGGGAAAAAAAAAAAGTTTTGTGAATTTAGTGCCACAAGAACAGTGCTCTGCTGATATCAGGTATGGGAAACTGCAAGATTTATCTTCCAGAAAAGAGCAGCAGTATTGCTAGATCACGTGCTCCAAGGAATACTAGGAAATTTCTGTGTGAGAGTACCCTGTCACACTGCTTGTTCCTATTTCACTGTTGCTGTTTGCTAACTGACATCTGAGAGTCAACTCAATTCTTGATGGTTTTACGTATGTGCAAAAGGCCAAGCATGCTTGTTTTCAGGACTGGGAGAAGATAATACAGATCTCTGTACCTGAAATTCCTCCAATCATATAAATGTTTCAGAAGAAATGGGATTTTTGAAACCTTTAAAATATCCCATAAAAACCTTAAGACACTGGCAAAGACAAGCTTTTTGGGAAACCAGTTACTTTATTCATAGAAGTTAGGGCATATCTGTGAGACCCATGTAAGCTACTAGTTAGGAATAACATGCCAGCTTCTATTTCAGTGCCTCAAACCTGCTGTTGTTTTTACTGTAAAAACTACTCACACATTTTATGTAGTCACCATAGCTACATAGTCTCCTAAAAGTTCCAAAACTAAATGTGGGTGCTGGAGCTTAGAGACCCTGTCTACAAAGCACGACGACATGCAGCAGCCCACTCAGAAAAGTCAGCCACTCACTTGAAAGGAATATCTACATTGCACAGCCAGATCAAAGCTGCAGCAAATGAACCCCAGCCCTAAACGAAGGGACAATCCTTCACAAGTAAAAGGACAAGCTTATTTGCCATTCCAAAGGCAAATTCTGCCCATGACTTTTGCTAGGGCAAAAGAGACAGCAGAGAATCATGTAAAATGAATAAACTGTCCAAAAATATTCAGAGAACCATCTTGTCTTTTCTTTTTCCTCATGAATAATGCATGAGCCCTGAGGTGGCAATGACCTTCAGTAACTACAAACTCAGACCTGGACTTGGATCAGTAACCTAATTACAACAGGCTTTTCACTTCTTTCATGAGCTATTCAAGTATCTCAACAGAAACAAAAAATGCTTAGTGTGTGTGTCTGATTACCCCAAACTGTCAGTGGTTAATTCCAAAAGCCTATCCTCACTTAAATATGGTAGTTCTACCACAAATTAAACTATTATAGCCAGGAGTAAAATTAGGTTCCACATTTGTACTTTCTAAAATATCAAAGGCATTATTAGCAAAGTCTTTTGTTCAAGATCTCTGGAGTCCTTGAGGTAATGAAAGCTGGGTCAGGTAGTATTTTCTCTTCAAGTAAAGGCTGTGTTCATGCAATACCTGCTTCTATGACTCACGGAGTATTTGGGCTAGAGAATGGATATTCTGTACCAATACACACACACCAACAGCAGTACCCCTGCCCTGACCAAAAAAAGAAGGGGGGGGGGCGGTAGAAAGGCATAGCAGATTGATACTGAACAGTTTCCTGTTATGATCCCTTGAAAGAAACCCATCCTTACTTTCACCCTGCTTTCTGTTTTCTGAATTTCTCCTGACAGTTGGCTCTCTCCTTTGCCAGAACCACAACAAAGGACGGCCTTGAGTTTCCACACAGGCCATTTTCTCCCTCTCTCGTCTCTGATCATCTCACAAAGGTATTATTGTTGCTGGCTCACTGGGGCTCAGTGCACCTGAGGCAGATCAAAGGCACTTTTTAATGCCCGCCTGACCACACAGGTCTCTCTCCCACTGCATTAAATTAAACTCGATGATTAATCTCTGTAGCCCTGAGGGTCCCTTGGTGCACACGGACAGAAAAAATATATATTTCTATCAAAACACAAGTATAATATACTTTCATTTTATAGCCCTAATTAAAAAAAGGAACAGCTAATTTCAGCCAAATGCAGCTGCATATAGGTCTCATTAAAACACAAATACAACCGCTCTGTGTGCTCTACATTCATTTCATGCAGTTTATGCAGGTAAGAGATAAAAGAATGGTAAAATAAAGTCCTTTCACAGATTAAATCCAGAGAAGTTTAGAATGTGCTTATTGTCTCCTGGCTAAAGATTGTTATACTTCTGAACAGATGAGTGAAGGAAGGCAGTTAAGGAAATGATTATAAAATGCTGAGTAGTTACATTTAAATAAAAATCTACTTTAATCTAGCCAAAAACTGAACAAGCATCAATTCCTGAGTTTGCATTCAAGTGATGAAGAGCCTTAAAAGGTTCTACCTTGTCTATGGTGTGGAGTCCATGTATGACTTTGGGGTTGCTTTCATGACAGTACAGAACATTGATTAACATTAACATGAACTTTATCATGTCACTTTTGTTACTTTAGCATGTTTAATGGCGTCACATCTCTCATGGTTGTGGAGTATGCACAGAGCTGGTGCCATGAAAGTGATTATTGATATGCCACGCTCTAGTTTGGGAAGCAAAACAAACTATAATAGTGAACTGGGTCTACATTAGAACTTACAAGTATTAAAAATTAACAAACAGTCACACACATCTCCTTCTCCAGGGCTAGTTCTAGTAAAGGAGTAAGTTAGAGCCAGCTGGCTCAGTTCCAGCTATTCAACACTGCCCTTCGACCTTTTGGAGAAACTGTCTGAGAGCTCCTCAGCTCATTTTGGTCCAGTATTGTATCTCTATTAACCCAACTCATTTGAACAATTTAGACTAATTTCAGCTAAATGAAAGAGGTCAGGAAGAGTTCAGGCAAGGTTTGAAGGGTGACTTCTTCCCCCGAGCTGGTATTTGCAGGGTGCCCTACCTGCACCACGACAGACAAAGTGATACCAATGTAATTTTTCAGAGACAGTAAGCTAAGAGTGGTGGAGTTTGAGGTTTCAGACTCATGTTTAGGATGGAACTCACATGTGTTTCAATTAGCCTACAGGATTTAAGCTTTTCTTAAATGCTCTGCTACACAATATTAGGATTATTCACAGCTTTAAATTCAATCATGTGCTTAAATGCTTTGCTGAACTGCAATCCATGTGACAAGATCACCATTTATTTATGCTTAAGATCACCATGTATTCATGCTGTTACTACGACGACAACTTCACTTACTTTTAAGCCTGAGTTTTTATTACTGTCTCCATTCTTTTTCTCTACCAGGGCTCTCTCAATGAAGCATGCTCATCATCTCTAAAACCTCTAGCACTCCCATTGCTATTTGCTCATTTAGGAAAAATTCAAATTATAATCAGTCCAAATTTAAGACCAAAATGAGTTTTAAATTAAAAAATGTGGCAGAAAGGGTACTTCTCTAAATGGAATGCTTTCAGACTCATACATTTTAAAAACTTATAAATTTCAAAAGCAGACACTAAATTTTAATTGCAGTCTCAGAAAAAGCTTTTGCATTAATTCACTGAGAAAAAATCAGCAAAGTGAAAATTGCTTATCAGGGTTTTTCTTTCTTTTTGGTCATGATACGTATCATAATTCTATACATCATGGCAACTTTCAGAGGTAGAAGGATTTATATTGATTAAGTGAAGAGGTGGGGGAGAAGGGCTGCAACTGAAGACATGCACTCCTTTCTCCAAAGACACTATTCTGTAACACATTAGTGACAGGCTTGTCACGGATAACTCAAGCTCAGAGGCTTTGGCTCAGATTTCAGGCTGCTCTTTAAGCTACTCTAGCATCGTGGTTTTTACTTTCCATGTCATTTTTCAGTATTGATTTCTACTACTATTAAAGCTCTTGCTTAAAAGCAAATGCATGGTAATATATAATTAATATCCAAAGGTAAAGATAGAGTTACCAGAAAAAAATTCAAAGAAAAGGAATAGGGCAAGAAGCACAAAGGTCATTTTTCCCTTCAGAAACATTAATTACTATTATCTGTACAAATTAGGACTATGCATACAACCTACCCCCATGTGGCATGAAGATGTTCCACAGATCATAGCAACCCGGGATGTAATTGGCTGGTTTTCACATGGCAGGTTATGTCCTTTCACATCTGCTCCAATTACTCCTATTAAAATAAAATTAAAATTCCGTTTTAAAGAAGAGCAAGCCAACCCTCACAACACCCAGTTTTCTGCACACAAATGATTGCTTAGTATCTCACACCACTGCTACAAATCAGAAAAGTGTACTTAGTCAATAATCCAAGTTATTCTATAAAATCAGATTAAAATGTATTTTTATTCCAGACACATGAAGACACAAGATTATTTCTCTTATATTCATATTTATCATAATCATTTTCATGTGTGTTTTTTTTTATTATAATCCAACCTTTAGGCTAGGTAGCACACTAACATGCAGAATAAAAGACTGCCCTGTTGTGAAAGGCATTACAGTAGTTTGTAGTTATGTTTATTTGTTCACAGTTTATCACACATAGACTGTATGATGTGTTTTGTCAGAGGATGAGCTGGAGAAAGGGGTAACTTGGCAGGAGACTGGAAAGCTGCCAGTTTTGTTGTCTTAACTGCTGCTGCTGTTCTGTCCATGTCAGACAGAACCATCTAAAGGAAGATTACTCCTTGCCTAAGAGGAACTGTGCTTGGCTCTGAGTAGCTTCTGCATGCAAAAGGACAGGAAGGAGGGCAAACTCAGTAAGTTCTCAGCCCACAGCAGAAACATACACCAGGAGATGCCAGAGAGAAGCCAGGAGCTTGCTTACAGAACAGGGCAGACCTACAGACAAGCTTCAGCATGAATCACATCATATTCAATTCAATTAAGGGGAGGCTAAAGTGGAAACTGCCCTCTCCTCCTCCTCTCCTCTGCCACACTCTTGCATCCCGTTGTGCTGCACCCAGCAAAATGCAGCAGCCCAAAAAGTGCTACTCTTTTGTTTGTCTTTTATTTCTATTGAGCATTACTTTTCAACTGGTAAACTGGTCACCAGACTGTGCACTGCCTCTGCAGTGTGCAGTCCAGTGACTAGTTTGCCAATCCTGCTAAAAAAATTAATCTTTCTCCTCACTGTAGAAGGAACAGGAAAGCATTTGCTGGACCCTGTGAAGGATGCCAAGTGTAACTGCTGGTTAGTATGCTCCATTTCATTAACACCATCTTGTTTAGGTAACCACTGCAAAGTTCTGTTATTAAACTGGTCTATTTGGGTTCATCTTACCATGGTTGCCATGGTTATAATGGTATTATCATCATTGGTAATTACCTAGATAATGAGAAAATTAATGTCTAAAACTATGCAGTCTTTCAAAAATCTGTCCTTGTGTCCCTTTATTCTAGCTAGCTTGTAACTATGTAGTAGCATAGCTGTCATACCCTGAGTTTATTTCTAAGGAACAAAAGATAGCTAGAAGTATGGCTTCTGCTTCTTCTGTTTTATTTATCAAAACCCAAACATGACTCAAACACAGACATCCATGAGTTCGTATTAGGAGTTTTGGATAGAGTTGTCTAAAAAGCAACTCCTTTCTTAAAGGACATAAAAATATTGTTCACACTCATGTTTAGATACTTTTAATCACTAGGGAAATAAGCATTCTGCAAAACATGCATTCTGGCCTTTTGGAAATCAGTGGGATTTTGTCTGTGGCTTTACTAGTGTTTAGAGTTGCTAGAGTCTTCCTATTTGTGATTAATTGAAGTCAGTCAGTAAATAAGTCTGGAATATTCTCATAATAATGAAACTTCAGTTATTTTGTTCACTAAAGATAATTCAATTGCTATTACAAGTCGCTTTCACTGGAATTTTTCACTGGAATCGCTTCCACTGGAATTTCACGCTGGAATTTTTCATACATTAAGAAAGACTCAAAATCTTTTAAAGATTCTCAAGAGAGACTGAGAAGAAGCCTGTGTACCACACAAACTCTAGGATAGATTTTAGAAAAGCAGGCAATGCTTAGAACTGATAAAGTATTTTAGATACTGTACAAAAATGCTGATGTCTTTTTAAAAGGTGCAATGTAAACACTATTTTTATGAGGCCAGTGGGACTGACCTCCCATACTCACGTTTTTTAACTGTAGGCTCTTTTAAATTGGTACAGTAGGTCAGAATGTAAGATATACCTACTCAGCTTTTAGGTTTTTCCTTTTCCATAATAGGTATCAGATGGACTGATTCAGGAGTCATAGATGACCTCCACAGACATATGTATTACATAATTCTTTATCTTTCCCTTATTTTTCTCAAAACTTTGAAGTCTTCATAAACTTCAGGAACCTTTCCAGCAATAACAAACTTCATATCCAGCCACAAGCAGACCTGAACAGTGTGTCAAAAGTTATTAACACTGAAAACAAGATGTCCATCGTGTCATTTTGGTTTAGCCTGCAGGATATAAAAGAGCCCTTTTCCTTACTCTGCTGTTATAGATGATTTTTAAAACAAACAGCAGAATGTGTTTAAGAATGAGAATAATGAAACCTGCCGGATGTTGTTCCACAAACTAATCTAGTGCTTACTGATCTCTAAGTCCGACCCTTCAAACAAACTCTAAACCTCAACATTTCACTACAGATCACAGCAGAGTAAGCACTAAAACACAAATCAGTACCTTTTAAAAACAGAAGTTTACATCAACTGCAAGAGGTATTTATTTCCAGTATTTTCACCTTTTAATTGATTTTTTCAAGTATCTCTATTTTCTTTTCTTCTGTACCCCTTTTAGCATTATTAAAAGATGAATATTATTTAGTGTTGTGCCATCCTTAATATCTTTTTATCAGAACTTCTTAGATCTATTATCTGTTTTGTCCTTTCACTTTCTTGTTTTTCCTTCAGGATTTTCAGGTCTGCATGCTACACACTGTGTGTTAAACAGCTGAAAAAAGGTTCTTGTTATTAACAGCTATGGATGAAGGTGTATTTTATTTATATATATTGAAGAAATATTTCAGTATTTGAGATATATCTACAATATTAATTCTCATTCCACACATCTGCACTCTCCACCTCTTCTTTTGCTTCTGCTGTCTGTTCTGCTGTAATTTTTTTTCCTTTTTACTGACTTTTCTTTTGGTTTCCCTACCTATTTTTTACCCTTCTCAGACTCAAAAAGAATGAGTTCCATCTAAAAATCTTCCTCTTTTCCCAGACTCTGCTCAGTTATTGTGTGATTAGCATGCAGGTTTTCCCATAGCATTACTGACTCTCTGTAATGTGTCTTTCCCTCTCTAACAACAACCTTTGCATTTATTTTCTCCTGGCACTAATTTCAGTAGTCTGCTAGTGTTTGTGGTGCCATCTGGGAAAACATATTCTGATAAACAGGACTAGCATAAGCAAACTGCCTCTATCTACTCAGATTTTACTCTGGGATGCCAGTAGATACATATTTCTAATGTTAGAGTTTCTTTATAGAAGACTACAGCAAATCTATTCTTATTTAAATTCAATTCATTGGTTTCAGAATCTGAAATTTACCGGGCAAACTTTCTGTGCTCTGAATCCAATGCTCACATAACTAAATGACAACTAAACTGTCATTCTCACATGCTCTGTGACAATCCAGTTTTTCAGCAAGTTCATTATTTCAGGCCACCTGATTATTACATCCCTTTCAAGAACACAAAACTATGAGGGCACATAGTATTAAACACCTTTTTATGCAATGAGGATACTAATTGACACAGATTTTTAAGTCACAACAGTAGCAACACAACGCATGTACAACTATGCCACTAAACCTCAGTCTTCCCTTTTGCAGCTGGATCTCTATCTAATCTTTCTCAAGTATTAGGAAAAGCCATCTACTCGATTGCCTAACCTCATCAGAAGCAGTTACCAAAAGCAGAGTAAATGGGTTTAAACATTGAAAAAGTTCCAGGCTACAACTTCTCGAAGAACACATGACATTTAAAACAACACGATATATTTGAAACAAAACTGCTACTTTAGCAGCTAATCATAATTCTTATAGATGTAGAGAAAGATACTCTGATGAGCAACAGATTTCCATTGAATAGTACTGTTTCAAAAACACTGAAACTTTCTGAGGTAAAACTTTTTTCTAAACTACCAAACTAAAAAACCTCAATTTCCTGCTG